ATTGGCGTGTGACTAGGCCTATGAAAATAAGGTACATTTTGTGATGAGTAGGACCTAATAGCGCAGYGCACTGATTCTAAAAATAGCTTAAAGATTCGGTCAAACATTRCATTCTGTTTAACATTTTATTATTTTTACTTMAAGTTACAATAATAACCCATGTAAACTAAGATCAACTGCGATCGGCTGTGAAAATTATCTGCTGAAAGTAAACTTGTAAGTTTGTTCGTCCGAATTTCGCCGTTGTCCTAATGAATCACTAATAGAAAATATTTCAAAATATCCTTGCTTTGCGTTAACGCTTTAATAAATAAAATATTTTTTCAATATTAAAACCTAAAGCTCTGGCCGACATGCTTGCCTAATGTCTTTGTTTTTTAAATAATCTATTGAACTGCCAACTAAATGCCAATTGCCAATTAAATGCCAAAATATGAGAGGAAAGTAAATGGCGGTACTTGCGTGGTAAAGGAGACACTTATATTGAGTGTTCACAAGATTATCTTTACCATATTTAGCATTACTAACGAGTGGAAATGATGTCTAATTCAAGAGTATAACACCGCCATACTCAGTTTAATAATACTTTACTTTTGCTTAAGGCGAGTAGTTTACCCAAAGAACACGTTTTATATCACTGTTTGTACAAGGGCCGGCGTAGCTACTCCGCTGTTGACGCGCATGTACTTAGCTCTCTAAGAAATTGTTCATAGACTGTTCTTATTTATCGTAAACCGGGTTAGTGTGTACTTCAATTGTTATGACGCAGCTATCATTGTGTTTTACAAACGAACATTTTATGTTGTTATTTATTTCGTCAACTGCGTGATGTTCGGGTTTCAGTGTCGTCATTTTTCGCCATAAAAGTATTTTTTAAACTGGTTAACTTAACTAAGATATTTGCTAAAACATACAGGTTGAGTCGGGCTAAGCATGTTTTTCTCGGCAAACTGAGAAAAAAAGAAGAGTTACCCGAAAAATCCCCTCCAACAAAGAAATACCATCATATGGTTCTACTAAGTCTCCCACAGATAGACGACAGTTTTATTATTAGCAAGCTATTAACACGCTAGGCCCGGCTATTTCTATCCAGACTATTTGATTCTGAACCATTCTGAACCATCTTTTTCTTTCTTTCTTTCTTTCTTTCTTTCTTTCTTTTAATTTAATTTTAATTAGTTTATTTATTTGTTTCGTTATATATATTTTTCCTAGATGTAAATTTATTATATTCATATCAAAAACTAAAGAGGAAAATTAACGRAATTTCTATTATAATCTCGTTAACCATTCTTAAGAAGCACGGAATCTGATAGCGCACATTTGATTTCGGCGTTTCTAAGTTACTTTCAAGTATTCAATAAGAATCATGAAAACCGTTTATTGACATTACTGGGTTTAACGACTGTGTTTTCTTTAATGCATCACTGCATGATAATCGTAATCAAGCGATCATGTACTAATTCAGCAGACTTTGTAGACAAACTTCGAGTACGTACTTGAACGGCGACAAACAACTAATGTCTTTAATTTTAACTCTGTTCCATACACATTTGAAAACATTATTTTGTAATTCACAGACACTACAAAATCCTATTATAGTAGTTCTAGTACGAACTTCCTCTTCCAATTTTAAACTATCTTGGATCTTGTTATTACTTTCGGCTTTCTTAACAGGTTTTAACATTTTTGATGACATCTAAATTACTTGCATAAAGGCGGTTCAGGAGCACGATATTTCATTCAATGCTAGCTCACGATCTTAAACTGATAAAACTCGCATAATTACGTCCTTCTCTGTGTGTTAAGTAGCGAAATGATCTGCCAAAAAAGAAAAAGATACAACAACAATATTGACAGCAAAATACTTTTTCTTTACTAAAATAAAACTTAAATTGAAGTACTAAAAAACCAAGAAAACTCTAAAGTGATTATTTTTGATGTGGGATAGATSGGGATTAGAAATTTAATTCTTTTTTGTTTTGCTAATAAAATAGATGATATTAAATTAGTGAAGGAGTAATCCCGTGTATCACTGAACTAGATAACCCAAGGTTATTAAATATTTGTCATGCGGCATTTCTTTTCGTGTCAACAGTTATCATCAGTTATCACATTGCGTTCTCCTGGGCTTCTTCGCTTTGTTAATGAATCGCTTCTATCTTGCACTGGTCTTGTATTCCATCTGCGCCATTCTCATATTATTATCATTCTCATTTCTTACTTCCTGTGTTTTCATGGGTCCTGTGCTTGTTYTAATTTCTCATTAGTTTATTCACTGTTGCATTTTATCAAAAGACCTATTTTAGAGTTTCATGTTAATTGGGAGAAAGTCGTGTTCGCGCCCGAGATGTTTTGTTCCGCTCAATATTGACGTTAAACTAGAAGAGTAATTCAAACTAATTTGTCACTCGTTTAAAGGCGGAAAATCCTAATATTTTTAAATGACAGAAAAAGTATTAAGTTATTTCTGTTTAAACAGACTTCTGACGTTTGTAATTCCCAACTAATAACAAGAATAAAATTCAGTCTGCTTTATAAATCAATGGAAACAAGAGAAATTAGGAGCTTTTTTCATTTTCGTTGAKGGAAAAGTAAAAGAATAGAATGAAAAGATCGAAGAAAAGTGGTTTTACTTTGTTGCGCAGTTGTTCATGCTGTTTCATATGTTGAATTCTCAACAGTAGTTGGTGCGCTGGGACATGCACCGGGTCTCGACGTGAGAGCATCCAGTTCGAATTCCATTTTGCGTAATTAGTCTGTCTGAGTCATTGGCCCGTGTGAAATCTTTTTCAAGTATACTATATAAGTAGCGGTAGTCGTCATCGACAGTTAGTTGTTGAATGCTTTCAAATGGCGTCGATGAAAATTTATCGAGTTACAAAACAGTTAATCCTTCTTGGAGCCGTTTTATTAGTACGTTCTGTGGATGGCAGTTCTAACTTCAGTCGCGCTGCCGCCATCTCGAGCGGGTYTTCTTATGATGCCAGGACATCATCAAAAAAATGTTCTTCCGTATATTCATGTCAGGGCCGATGTAGTACGAAAACAGAGTGGGATACTGGTAAAGAAGAGCGGTCTATTGCACCMCATTGCCACTGTGATCCAGCCTGCAACAAATACCAAGACTGTTGCGCAGATTATAGAAAGGCCTGTGGGAATCAATCATTACCTTCACWGTCCAGTGATGACCCTGTATTTGTTTGTCGTCTTTTGAATATTGCCGAACCATCAATGTGGATGGTAGAGAGCTGCCCATCCTCCTACAAGAACAAGGAAATAAGAGATAAATGCCTATCAAATGAAAGCTTAAGAGCTGACCGGTTAGGAGAGATGATTCCAGTACAACATTTAGATAAAAGCGGACTCATATTTAAGAACAAGTTTTGTGCAATGTGCCATGGGGCTAACACTGATTTTGGACTTTTCCCTAGCCAAATTCGAATCAGATGCAACATCTTGCCGCCCAAAGATAGCAATTCTACGCTCGACCTGGAATACATATTGAAGTACTGCGGGAACATAGATTTCGAAATCGATAAAAGTTATCAAAGAAGGTTTTGTTTCCCAACAAAAAACAAATGTCCTTCTGGTGCTTCGAAGGAAGATGAAGAAGGATGTGAGAGCGGTCCTACTGCTGTTGTTTTCAGCTCAGAAGCAGACCGAAACTATCGAAATGTCCACTGTATGGCTTGCCACGGTCTCAACCCTAATGACGCTATGTGTGGACCACGGTCAACCCCCAAAGATGTTTTTACCCCAAAGTCCTTTGAGGTYGTTATGAATTTCAAGCACGACGATGCGGGAAAAGCTCAATTGACCAAGCCAAAAAACCTTATTAAATGTTTGAAGGTAAGAATAACTATGATATATATATATATATGTATAATATAATATGATTTGCTCCTCAACAAAGTTGAGCACTCTTTATCTCTAAGTCGTCATGGAAAAAGTAAACTTCGGGTGCTCGACAAAGAATATTCCTTTACCTACAAACAAAGAATACACGATGAGTATTAAAGAGAATAAAGCCTTGCGGCTCTCTTGAAACAGCGCTGTAGTGAAAATTCTATATGCCTTAGTTTATTTACTGTACCCATCACTATTCTATATATATATATATAGAACATATATACAGCGATTTGCAAAAATTCTGCAAAAGTCAAGTACATCTATATATCCATATARACTAATTTCCAGATATCCAGTTTTTTTAATTATAACGATTTTCAACCAAAAGCCCAATATCTAGTATTAATGCTCACAATGTACACTAGGATTATATTTCATCGAAAACATTGTATTTAACCTGTATTAAAACGTTTTTTAAATTGAAAATTACCCATAATGCACCCGATATATCGATATTCATTTTATTTACAGAATTTTTGCAAATCGAAAAAAAATCGGGGATCTTATCCCATAGTTTTTGATATACTTGTTTTCATTGCATAATGAATAGACACAGGAATTTGGTGTCAGTTTTCTTTCTGCTTTTCCAGCTCTTTCTGAAGCCGAAATGCCAGAAAATCATACCCATGACATTTTAAAAGTCAATGAGCAACAATTACTGCTGTCAAAATGGTCTTCAGGATATTTTTTCATCAGATTTTTACACTAGTTTATTTTCAAGGAACTGGATGAATTCAGTTRACCATAACCGTTATGAAATTAATATGCAATTAAAACAGTCTATCGGGACCATTCTTTGTCGCCGATTGTTTTGAAACCATGCATTGATATTGCGCTTATTTATATGACTAAAAGATCAGTAGTGTGGAAAATCAAAACAAAAAATGGTTCATTGCATATTATTCAAATTCCGACGCAGCATTCAACTTGAAAGCTTTAACGATCGAACTCAGCGGTGATGTACACCCTCTTCCAGGTCCGAGTTTTGGACACTCGCATGCAATCCCTGTCTGGACAACAAATCGCCCCGAAAATTTGCAAAGGAAAACTCGAGAGCGTCTGCAATCAAACCTTATAAAGGTTAATTTACGAGACCGAATTTTCAATTGACTCCCACAAAACGTTTAGATTTCTGCCTGTGGAACGTACGATCTATAAATAACAAAGCACACGCAATAAAAGACGATATAGTTGACCAAAACTTGGACTTTCTTGCTTTGACAATAATGTGRTAATGACAATAGTCCCCYTCACAGTTCYCTRCGCCATCTTGAAAGGTAGCCATGCCTTTGCATCGAAGCGAGACGAACGGTGAGCTTGCAATGATAGAGAGACCTTTTTTAACACCTTGGACAATTAGTTACATGTCTCTATCATTGCAAGTTACATGTCTCTATCATTGCAAGCCCACCGTTCGTCCCGCTTCGATGCAAAGGCACGGCTACCTTTCAAGATGGCGCAGGGAACTGTGAAGGGGTCTATTATTCTATTAGAGAACTTTTTTCTAAGAGGTTATATTTTTCACCATGTTCCAAAGAAAAATACCAAAGGTGGTGAGTTGGTCTTGAAACAGTGTTTCCAAGCTAAAAAACAACAATTGAAAAAGCTTGATTCCTTTGAATACATGAATGTGGTTACGAAACTTAAAACTAGCAGCATTAGAATTGTTGTGATCTACAGAGCGCCACCTTCAAGACAGATCGCTTGAGAAGCAATGCATTTTTTGATGACTTTTCATCACTAGTGGAACAACTTGTCCTAACGCCAGAAAGTTTGTTGATTKTGGGTGATCTAAATTTTCATCTATAAAATAATAAAATAAAATAATGCAGACGCTAACAAATTTTTCCACATACTTGAGTCTTTTAAATTGAAACAACACGTCGACGCACCCACTCACGAAAAGGAGCACACCCTTGATCTGATAATAACTCGATCTAGTGATAACCTGGTGGATAACATTGACATTAAAGATCYTGCACTGTCAGATCATCTAGCCGTGGACTGCAACTTGAAATTTATTAAGCCCATTATGGAACGCCGTGAAATTAAGTACCGAAAACTACGCTCTATCAATATAAACAATTTACGTGACGATCTTTAAGAAGTCCAACCTATTACTAGATGATGCTACTACTGACTTGCCAACATTAGTGGGAAACTATGAAAGAGAACTTGAGAAAGTACTAGAAACCCATGCACCAGATAAGTGTCGAACAATCACACTAAGGCCTTCAGCTATCTGTAATGATGAAAGTATTGATAAAGAAAAACGGAAACTAGAACGGCGCTGGCGAAATCACGATTAGTTATCGATAGGGAACTATACAAGGAGCAATGCAAAGTAGTAAACAGCCTCATTAAATGTACCAAGGCTAGATATTTTTCAAACATCATAACTGAAAACAAGGGCAACCAGAAGATTTTGTTCAACACTGTAGATACGCTTCTCCACCGGGATATACTGAAAAATGTTATCCTACTCCCATCTACCAAGAAACTGGCAAATAKTTTTGCTGATTTCTTTCACAACAAGATTCAAATGATACGAAACAACTCGGATTTAAGTTTATTTAGTTCTTCACAGATTCGTGCAAAGCYAAAATTATTTCAACAATCATAGCTACGTAGTGATTTGTTTGGTGACATGTCTCGTTTGAAAAATCCTTTCACAAATGAACACTTTGATGTATTGAGGTATTCATTCATTCCTTGTTTTTAGGGYGAGGCTTTTGACAAACATTTAGAGATCTGTCGCCCCGCCATGCAGCCTGGACCAACCAAGTCAATTAAAGACAAATATCGTGTTATGATGTGGTTATTTCCAGTGAATGGTCAACAACCCCAAAACATTTCTCACACAGACTTCGTTGACACGTTAASCACAGAATTCGTTGGGCTATTGCCAAGTCAAGTTGAGGTGTCGAGTATCAAGATAGAGGATCGGACTATCCGTGCTGTATTCGACCTTCATGCGCGTTACACAAACAACAGCAAAGAGAACAGCAACAGTTCAAAGGGAATGCAGCTCGATGCATTRATCAATTTTAAAAACCAGTTTAAAATGGAAGTAGCTCAACGTCTGTGGCTTGTTTTAAAGGTCACTACCAGAAGGTTATCTTGTGTACAGCGTSAGGTAGGTTAATATTTATTAATAAGTAATATTATTATTAATGTGATGAGGAATTCCTGAGATCATTATTAGAGCACGGGCGGGTCCAGTACAATTTTGAGGGGGTGGCTGATACTTACAAAAGCATCAAATAGCTAGCGTCTTTAGATTTATTATTTTTTTGTCCTTAGGCGGGGTGACTAGCCACTCAGCCCCCTCCCCCCTCCCCCCTGGATCCAACCTTGCATACTAGTCCTGATATTCGATTGAGATACTACGCGGGCTCTGATTGGTAGAAACGCTTGAGACAACAACAGAAAACACGCGTAGCTCCAACGCTTTGTTTCAATTATATCGGCCTCTGTATATTGGTTTTGCTTCATGTTTCTGTACGACTTCTCTCGTGCTCTACTGCTCCCAGCGTGCTTATGTCATAGTGTATAGAGTGTATAGACGCGYGCGCCGTTTTATATTCCTAATCGGTTTATTCTTTTATTGCCTCATAGGTCTATCCATCGGGTACATACAGAATTATTCCTCACAATGAAAGGATAATTGTCAATTCCACTAATGGAACACAAGTTTCTTACTCAGTTAAGCAGTACTACCTGGTTGGAGTAAAAGAAGCAAAGAATTTAACATTTGCAAACGCTACTGCGATCGTATGCAGGTGAGGGGACTTGTCATGTGATTCAAAACGTCAATAATCCTTCTTTATTTGGTCAATGATTGTAAAGGATTTGGAACTAACTTTGGGGCCTGACTAAACCTAGCTCTAGAAATAAAGATACAGAAAGCAGGAGCGCGCGCTGCAGTGTATATATCTTATATAGCACGCCCTCCCAACCAATCAAAAATCCAAGATTTATATATGAGTCATTAATSAGAAGGGGTTCAGTATGCTATATATGTTTTGCAGGTCTTATTTTGGATTCCAGTGTGACAAAGTGATGTTAGCAGTTAAGGAAGATGAGTATGTCATGTTTAAAAACAAGACCCTGTTGTTCAAGCCTACTGGTCAACAGTATGCAGAAGGAGAGTATGATATGGTCAAGAATACTCCTTGGATTTGTACAAATTATTCAGTAACATTTACAACAAACAACACGAGCTCAAAAACGAATGAAACGTTAAGTAAGTAAATGTATGTAATAATGAAGAAATAGAAAACGCACGCTCGAGTGCTGGGTGCAGTTATAAAACACTCTGGATTGGCAGAACTCGAGAGAAGTGTTATGAAGAGAAGTGTTATGAAGAGAAGTGTTATGAAGAGAAGTGTTATGAAGAGAAGTGTTATGAAGAGAAGTGTTATGAAGAGAAGTGTTATGAAGACAATTGTTAATTTTGATAGAATGCAAAAATAAAAAACGATATTTTGGATAATGATCATAATTATTATCATCACCATCATTATCATCATAATCATTATTATCATTATCATCATCATCATCATCATCATCAATATAATCAATCATCATTACCGTAGTAGTTTACAAATACAACGCTTATTACCATGGCTTATATAATGTATCTTTGCATTAATATTGTCAGTAATGTTTCCCACTCTCCTGGTTAATTTATTTCAGTTAAAAGCAAGCTGCTTCCAGTAAGCATTCACACAAATATCCGTCGTTACATGACGATTGTTGGTTTCACCATTTCCATATTGTGTCTATTCCTGGTCCTGTTGGCTCACGGGATACTACGCGATCTTCGTGAACCGCTGCCCGGTAAAAACCTGATCAGCCTGTCAGTTTCTCTCTTTCTTGCGCAATTTTGGTATTTGCTTGGTTCAGGCGATACAGACAAGCCACTCTTCTGTCACATCACTGCGTGTATCCTACACTACTTGTTTCTTGCCTCCTTTGGATGTACGTTTATYGTGGCTTATGATACAAGGTACAGAATTGCACTATTATATTGAGGAAGGGGTCTAAAAACAAACAGAAGAAAACCGGAGAAAAAGCCTCGAAGCACAGTAGAGAACCAACAACCAAATCCACTGAAAATAAATAAATAATGTTATTTAACAATGGCATCTCTACAGTGTAGCCCTTCATCCACTGAAATCTAATAAGCCTGAAGCGAGATGACGTTTCACCCCCGACTCTATACCATAATAGTTTTTAAAATTCTTTCATATTAAAATTTTTGATTCCTTAGAGAATACAGGAACAATACGTATAATGAAAGAACAAAAACAATGTGAAAAGGATTATGGTCTAGAGACAGGGGTGAAACGTCATCTCGCTTCAGGCTTATTGGAACTGATTTCAAAGTTGATTCTTATGGAGGTAGGAAAACTGGATCGATCCTCGAAGCACAGGAAGCACCCAACAAACAACATGATTCACATACGACACCGAATATATCATGTGATTAAACGTATTAGCCATGCCGGGGTTGAGGAAAATACTGGGTCGAGTTTGTTTTGCAGTGCGTGATGGGGCTCAATATCGTACCCRGAGTCTTCCGGCGMCTTCCTGTCGTCAKTGCCTSGGACGCGCCTGGTAAGACCACGCTGACGATGGGAGGGTGCGGGAGGAGTCTGGGTACGATACTGGGTGGRACTGTTTTAGGGGATATATTTCACYATTTCTACATTACCTCTATATTATCTCTCATTTTCCTTTTTTTATTCCTAGGCGTACATTCTCCGCCACGACAGCCAAAGCCCACGCATTAGGATCGTCCCATCAATCCAGRCGTCTTGCTATCTACCTCCTTATTTCTTGGGGACTTCCTTTAGTYGTGGTTGGAACGTGCRCGCTACTYGATTGGCTAGATGTGGTTACTATTGGTTACCGGAATGAAAATGCCTGCTGGATTGGAAATGAGACTGCCCTRTTGATTGTTTTCGCTGCTCCTATTGGGTCAGTCTTGGTGTATAACGTGTTGGCGTTTACACAGACCATCTACGCAATTAACAGGTAAAAAGTGACATGAATTGTTTAGTCTCGTTATTGAATTTTGCTTTCCTAATCCATGCCTGTGCAATAATTCACACTTTTCTGCTCACTGTATTTAAATATTTTATTCCTTTTTTTACTAATTTGTTGTAAAATGAAAACGGACACGCTGCTGTTGTTCGTGCTGCTGTTGATGTTGCTGTTGATGTTGCTGTTGGTGTTGCTGTTGGTACTGACCGCTGATGATTTTGTTACTGATGTTGTTGCTGCTGTTGTTTTTGTTGCTGTGTTGTTGTTGCTGTTTTTGTTTTTGTGTTGTTGTTGTTGTTGTTTGTTGTTGTTGTTGTTGCAGGTGCTGCTGTTGACGTTGTGGTTGTTATTATACACTAAAATCATGCGGTTTTTTTTTTTCAGTGCAAGAAAACAAACACAGCAAGTAAAGTCGTCGCACTACGCACGCCCAGCAACAGTCAAAATCTACATTCGACTCATTTCCCTCATGGGGTTTTCCTGGTTTTTCGGGATAAGTGCTCCTCTCATCCACCATGGTCTGATGTATCCATTCGTATTCTTCACCACACTTCAAGGGCTGTATATCTTTCTTGCATTTATTTGTAAARCGCGAGTCTTGCGCATGTTAAAAGCAAAGCTACCGCTGAATAAAGGAAAGCGTAGTCGCCGTCCAACTAAAGGAGCAACCACGACTACCAGTTCGCTTACGTCTGCGCCCTACAGCAAATACCCTCGCCCCAGTGATGAAACTCAAATATAAAACACTATCTTATCGTCCTCTTTGGGATTCCTGTTTGACAGGAAGTTGTTGGACAATCAATACATTGTTTATCAAATAGTATAGTAATAACGAGAAGACTTTAGATCGAGCGCTTTGCATGAGAAACCGTATAGACTTTAATACAGCATTTACAACATGCCGTATCACCAAAATGGTTTCTATTTTCCAATCACAACACGTAGTAACGGCTACGGTAAGATACGGTACACTATGAACTTATCGTTTCTCACTCATACAAAAACCGCGCTATTCGTCGCTGTAAATAATAATCGATCCACACTACAAAAAAAATAACAAAAAGAGTCGCTCATCAAAAATTAAGAGGTAGTTGTGATTAGGTTAGTGAGAAAGTGTACTTTTAATAGGCATGTCTTTCGTATAGTCCATACACACGAGGCTTTATTAGAAAGGGATATAACCTCTTCTCTTGTAATCCGCGCCGTATTTAATGAATAGTAGTCTTGTAGATAAAGGCGCTGTTTAAAAAGGAGATTAAAAAGATRAGAAAGGGGAAGGAATGATTATTTTTTATGCTTGTGTTTCAGTTGATCTGTCTTGATTGCTTTCTCCTCTCCACATAAAAGCGCTGGAAGTGATTTGAACTTGATGAACAAAACAAGATGATGAAATCGTGTTCAGATTTCTAGCCACGCTATTTAACATCTGAATGCGATAAATCATTAAAACGATAATTAAGAATTTATTAARTTGATATTTACCTGGTAACTTCATGATTTAATGGCTATATTTTGGACCAGAAACAAGCCGAGCACATGGGTGTATAATGTGGGTACGATAGTTGATGGATGGGTAGGGATGGGTAGAGTGAACTGGTGAGAAGGACAGCTGGATGRCTTGGCAGCGAGCTGGGTGGGTAGGATGACGGATGGATGGTTAAGGTAATGGATCTGCGGGTTTTTTTCATAGATAAGTGGATCTATTTTTGATCAGTCGTTTTTGTTGCCAATACGAACAAAATATAAATACTTTGGGGAAATAAAGTACGTGTCCATTGAGTGACAAATACATTTACTGAGCGCGTACAACCACAGTATCTTTATATTCAGYATAAGACTTTTTACAGAACTTTCACGAGGAACGAAAATAGATTAAAAATAAATATAAAGCATTTGGAGGATCTTATATTTAAATCGTGTTACAACGTGCGTGACTCGGTAAATTATATAGCGTGACTTTCTGTATACTTCCGGGTTGATTTCCGAGAAGTCTATTTTTCCTGGAACTACTTTGCATAAGTGCAACGAAGCAAATTTATGCGACGTAACTAGAAAAATTCCACGGGCTTCAAAACTTTTGTTTTGGATTTTTTCTCTCAACTCCTCATTGTATTGTAAATCATGATTTGAGAATATGAGAAGCTAAAGCGTAATGAAGTGTTTAAACCCAAAATGTCCAGCTCCTTCTTTCGTCGAGTCTCTTGGAGCTGAAAGCATCAAATTCTGTCCAATTTGTGCTTCTCCGCTCGATCCATCGCTGAAATCTCCCGAGAACAACAAGACTAGCGAAAGAAGTCACCAAACAGAAGAAGAAGGAAGCGAAAGATCATCTCTTAAACAAAGTAAGACACTGACTTAAGTTGTAATTTAATTTTTACATCGAGAGAACTATGTTTTAGATTCCCTACTTCGGGAAAGAGTGCTTTCCTTATAATGGACTTTAAGTTATGCTTCGTTAAAGAGATTTATTTTGGGGTTCTGGGCTACTATTTTATTAAATGACTCAAGTATATTCCTTTGCATATCAGTATTGTCTTTGAAATTTGACAAGTATTCTCTTCACCTTCAAGTCAGTGATGTCAAGGTGTTGTCGCTCGTGAATCTCTATCGAATATTATTTTATTCTATTTTTAAAATCACATCATATCACTAAAATGTCATATTAGGATTGYGRAATAAATAGCTGCCATCGAAAACACTTGTTAGCCAAAAACAAATGTGCACTAATACATAAATCTTGATCTGGGTTGAATCAAGGCTTCCGGTCCAGCCATACATAATTTATTTAGACATTATAGTTTAACTTTCGATTCATTTTTATTCACCATTTTTCCATTCATTGGTTCACTGGCCAAACACAAAGCGCTCAAGTGTAAGACACAAAAACATTTAACAGGGATCCCAAATGCGAGAAAGGCACTYGTTTAGAGCTTGAAACGGGGATATAAGGCAAGTCTCTTTTGAGCAGATGTAGGAAGGGGAGGCTAAAGGGGGTGGGGTAAAAACTCCCTCCCCTCCCCCCTCCTCCCAAAAATTTGGGCCAAAATTTTTGCAAAGTTTTATATAATACTATAATAGCCTTTTGTGACTAAATAATCCCTTTGATGACTTGTGTTCATGGGTAGTATTTGGTGCTATAGTGCTATCTCTCTCCACTGTCTTGTGTTCATGGCTTAATTCTCAAAAGAACCATACATGTGAGTTGAGTTTGTTAGATGTGTTGTTCTTCCCCTTCAAATCTGGTACTCTTGCTTCTGACCCCTGCTTATAAACACAGAGTGTRTGTGGTGTTGTTCCATCACTAACAAAAACAAAAACAAACGTAGAGCCACATTTTGGTATTCTATTATTTGTCTTTAAGGCTCATGTCAAATGTTGAACTTCACATGAGCCAAACCTAATGACATCAAAGAAGACTGCCTTGCTATCCATTCTTTCAATTAGGTTCAGCTTATGTAAAATTCAATGTTTGACCTGAGCCTTATTCTTTCATTTACTTCTGTAGATAAGAATGGGACAACAGTTACACTAGAGGCAAGTCATAGCAGCCCATCATCTGAACCAAATGGCAGAGATGAAAAACCTGCTGGATCAGGCAGTGCTGATGGTGGCACTGGGAATCAAGACCAAGCAGAGGAGCAGGATGGTAGCACATCTAGTGTGGCATTAGGAGATGTATCTGATGGATCAGGCAGTGCTGATGGTGGCACTGAGAATCAAGACCAAGCAGAGGAGCAGGATGGTATCACATCTAGTGTGGCATTAGGAGATGCATCTGATGGATCAGGCAGTGCTGATGGTGGCACTGAGAATCAAGACCAAATAACCCCAGATCACACTAGGAACAAACCTGATGATCAGAGAAGGGAAAAGGAAATTGCAAATGCAAGCAAACAGAGTACCTCAGAAAGGAATGAGGTCACTGAAGATGAAAATGGACTTGCAGATGGAGAGAAAAAGAGGGTTGTCTCCGAAACCATAATTATGGTGAATGCAAAGAAAGAAGATAAGAAAGAGGTAGTTAGAGATGTTAGTGGTAATGAAGATGGTGAGGCAAACAATGTTAAAACTGAGGATAATAATGTCAACACAAAAGACAAGACACATAGTGGTACAACTGATCATGCTCAAGTCCCCCATGATTCAGAAACAAGCCATTCCCCAGTTACTGATAATTCAAAAGGTTCTAAAAATGCTGGCAACACAGCATATCAGTACAATAACAATGCAATTCATGTGGCAAGTATTTCTGCGTCATCTGCATCAACAAATTTGAATGGCAAGCAAAATCTTGATCGACCTGCTGGAAGTACCAACACATCATCGAAAGGAAAAGGTTTGAATGAAAAGACAAAGAGTGGAGGTACCCCATCAGGAAACAAAAACCAGGGAATGAATAAAAATGATATGGACAAAATAAAGAAGACTGCAAATGAAGCTGGTGGCAGCAAAAACGAAGCTCGTAATGGTACAATATCAGCCTTGAAAAGCTCTAGCTCTGATTTGAATAAAAGCAACCAACCTCAGGTTCGTCATTGGAAACTAATAAGACTTTAAGACTTACAACACTTCCTTTTTCCTTTTATAGATTATAAAATCTTCTATCCCAGTCATTCACATAAAATTGAAGACATAGCTAGGGTGACCCTAAATACTGCTAGAGCTACCTCATTTGTTTTTGGTGTCCCCTAAGTAAAGAGGAAACCAAGACTTTTCCTTATCACCAGGGTTAACCTGCACTTATAAGTTTTTGCGATTCTGGGCCGGGTTGTTCAAAGCTGGATTAGCGGCGCTATTCCAGGATTAACTCTATAGGTCTTATTAAGAGTTAACCCAGGATTAGCACTAATCGGGCTTTGAACAACTGGGCCCTGAGCTGCCAATAAGGGTTTATCATGACTGCCAGCTAATTTGGAGAAATATATCCCTATTGGCCGTGGTCGTGAAGTGATGTGCGAAGGCCAATACGGGATATATTTTCTTCCAAAGTCGTTAATATAAATCTGCATTGGCGGTTCAAAATCGCAATAAATTTTGTATCGCGATTCTCTCATCGCAAGGTGGTTCTAAGCTTATATTGGCGACTCTCTCCCGATCAACTACTTATATAGGAGAATCGCGATACTCATAAATGGGGCCTATGTTTAACATTCAACTTAACGACATCTCTTTTTCAATTCAGGATGGATACTTTTATAAGAAGCCTGCACTGGATGAACAGCCTTCTAATAAGGGAAAAGCAAAGAATGCCGATTCATATGCCAGCAAAGTCACACAGCAACAAAGGTATCAAAGAAACGGGAGGAATGAAATGTTTGATAGCTTCCTTTTCATAAGCCCAGGAGTACGGATTTACTTGCGTAAGGGTGACTTTTAATGACTAATGGGTAATAGTTTAGACTGCGTTTTGGTGTGTTGCATACGAAGGAAACTTAAACACCAAGAAAAAAAAAGCTTGTAACAATACTGACATTTTTGACGTTAGTCCTTTTTCGGAGTAAAAGAGAAGTTAAGCAGAGTTAAGTAAGGATGACTGTGGTTGGCGTAGCGGCAAAAGGTACGCTTTTCAGTGCCCCACTGAGGTTGGACCTTTGATACAGTTTTTTCAAACTTAAATTTTAGTTATGATTGGTAGCTCCAGTTTTTCTTTCTTCCATGTGAGTTGAGTGTACGTACGGTATTGGGAGGGGAGCAACTGTAAAACAGAATTCATGCTGAATTGGCCATCAAAATAGGCTTATCATATTACATTATTTTAATTGTAAACTAACTTTAGTAAATGCATATTGCTACTCTCTTTTCATATTCCACTAACTTTCTTGAAAAGGACGCGAATAACCTGCGTACACACGTGTTATCCAAGAATGCGGCATTTTTACAAAGATGTTTCTCTGGCCTCAGACTTACGAATCTGGTTGTTTATGCACTGTTTCTTTTGTGTTTTGTAGTTCACATGCATCCAGTACCGAATCAAGTGGATCAGACGTTTCGGAAAACGTTACCATTGTGTTTCATGCTTTGTTGGCTCCCCATTTTATGTTCGGACCTGGATACGAGAATATCTTCGTATGCGGAGGGTTTCCTTTTAAAGGATGGAATGATAACCAACTAGAAATGACACCTATAAGGTACGCATAAAATATCTGATGATGATGATGGCGATGGTCAGGTGATGGTGATGCTGGTGATGATGATGATGATGATGGTGATGATGATGATGATGAAGGTGAGATGATGGTGATCATGTTGGTGATGTTGGCGATCATGGTGATGATGACGGTGATGGTGGTGATGGTGATGATCATTATGATCAGTAGCGATGATAATAACGATCATGATCATGGTGATGATGATAATGAATATGATGACAATAATAATGGTGATGATGTTGATAATAATATGATGATGGTGGTGATGATGGTGATGATGATGATGGCGATGTTGATGATGATGATGATGATGGC